TGTAAATGTGATTTTCTTTCTTGTTCATTGAGGGACACGGGACATTGGGGTTATACTGCCACCTACAGGAGGAATTGGACACCAGCAAACAAAAATAACAGAGACCCGCCTGATGAAACCACTCCCACTCCCAACATGCCTCAGTTTTTACTAGTGTCCTAGGAGGATAGAGGCCTTTTCCCGGAAGGTTGAACCATTTAGTAATCGGTTTCTTCTTTGATGAAGACTCCACCCACTGCTTGGCCAAGTCTCTTCATACAGCTGTGGGCGTATTCTCAGCTTTGGAGGCCGTACCCCTTTGGACCAGGACCGTCCGGAATGTGACCTTCATGCACTGGGCTCTGCATTTTGGTGCTTTCCCTTTGAGTGAGTTATCTGCAGACCCCACTCCAGGTCCAGAGCCGTGTCTCTGAGGTACCCATTTATGAGTATGCTGAGCACTGAGTGACACTTCTTTTCTTAGGACTTTTGGAAGCCATTACTATTCCATTTTTCTGTTGCTTGCCATGGAAAGCAATAAAACTAGGAGGGACCGAGTGCTGAGTCACTAGGTGTAGTGTTGTGTCGCACACTCTGCGCTCTATTTACTCCATTCATCACCTTCCTAAATGTAAGAGACATGCAGATCCACAAGTCCTTACTTACTCCTGCAGTGACCTGGTCACCTCGGGCTGTTTGACCTCCGGTTTCCGAGCACTCAAGGTTTCACGTGGTATTGAGTGATGTTGTTACTGCCAAGAAGTGAATCGTTTCAGATCCCGAGCACAAGGGGAGCAGTCCCACGGTTTCAGGTTCCACCATTTCACAATCCCCCAACGGTTCTGGGGTGGCCTGTAGTGCCCTTCTTAAGGACCTCACAGCCTGGTAGGTTGTCCCTACTTTCCTTGGGAATTGGTGATATTATCTCTGAGAAGTTGCAGGCATCTGCCATAGCTTCCAGGCTTACAGAGACTACTTTGGCTCCTATTAATGCTGTGCGTCTCAACTCAAAGCCCAACTGGGGGCACTGTGGCCTCCTGACACTGCAAGTGTTAAATGCTGGTTAGATCTACGGATGGCGTAATAAGCAGTAATAGCACCTTATTCCTCGCTCCAGAACCCGTCCTCTATGCTGTGTGATGGGTTCCCCTCAGCTTCTTCTCTCAGTTGCTCCAACAGTCACATCAAGTTTATTGCAGGACCAACAGTCCTGAATTGTATGTGAGGATGCCGAGGGCCCACCTACAGCCCAAAGCGCTGGAGATGAGAGATCACCAGTGACAAAGGGAGTGAAGAAAAAGGTAAGTATTACAGCCTCTACCCATAAACGTAATGAGCATTTAAACCTTGCGGTGCAAGGGGGTCCCACTGCAAGGGTGTATTTCTGGTAATTGCCGGAGTTCAGCCTTAAAGATGGGAGAGCATCCTGTAGCTTCTACTAGCGCTGAGAATATTCTGGAATCCCTTAGAGGCCCTGAGACTTCAAACACTTTTGTGGCGCACACGCTACTCCAAGACAACCTGAATGGAGACTTAGAAGACTATTCACACCTAGCCCTAACTATGAGAACCAACCTGCCTGCCTCCCCTTCTGTCTGATCCAACAACAGCTCAGGAGGAGATGGCTGATTCATAACTGCAGCTTGTCACAGCTGTGAGCACCTTCCCGGTGTACAGGAGGAGTACAGAGGGAGGGGGACGTGTTGTCCTCTGCACTTGTCTTGCCGATGCTTATCTCAGGAAAGAACTTACAGCTGAGGCAAGCTGCAGTTATGAATCAGATGTCTCCTCCTGAGCTGTTGTTGGATCAGCTGAGGTTGGGGGGGGGGGGGGGGCAGATTGGTAGGTTGGTACTCATAAGGGTTGAGGAGCACCTAGCAATATGGGACATATACTAAATGTACTCAGAGGGGCACAGAACTGTAATCAATGATGCTGATCGATAATTAGGGGGTTATATTCCCAAACCAGATTTAATGTTTTTAATGCAGAATCTTTCTTTCGCGAGCCGTACAAAGCAACTGATAAATGTTCACAAAGCCAAGAATTTCGCCATCTTGCTTCTCAAACCATTGGTTCCCTAAAGTGAGCACATTCTTACCTGTGCAGTGCAATCCAACATGTTCCCCCTCCCCCACCTCAGAAGCACATACTCTCCTCCGCTCCCCTCCCCACCCACTCACTCAGCCGCCAGCAGCAGGAGAAGCCATATAAGCTCCGAGGCCTTTAGTCGTAGTATACACTCCCCCCATGTGACAGCTCTGGTCCTTGGTGATTGGCCCAACACTACCACATGGAGTGGGTCACATGCTCTTTATCCCTGGAAGTACAGGTTGTTCTGCACCCCCTGGTGGGGAGTGGAGTAAAGGTGAGAGTGTGCTGCTGGGGAAGGAGGGGGTTGAAGAGAAGCTGAGTATGGTACCTGACATCAGACCCATCATGGCTGGCTCGCCAATAATGACAATGTTCTTTCCCTCCACAGGATCGGAGAAGAAGTTCCATATACAGGAGATTAAATGTGTGACGGAGCGCCCCCGGGTGGGGGAGAGGAGGTCACTCTTGTAGCATACATTGAAGAGTGTCAGGCGGACAGTGCGGAGTTCTCCTGGTATACAGGAATGTATTCTATTGATGGAGAAATAGAGAACAGACAGGACGGCACCAACTGTACATCCACCGTCACCTTCACACCGAAAACTCAGACTGTCCAATCAAATTGGAGGTGTTTTATAATTATCAGACTGTAGAGGGATCCTTGAGACTGCCACTGGTGTGAAGACCAGATCTGAGGAGGGAGTCATATCTTCCTATTAATGGCGGACATCTGACCATGTGAGACGATAGCTGAGACTCAACTCATAACTTCCTATTAATGGCGGACATCTGACCATGTGAGGACGAGATCTGAGGAGGGATTCATATCTTTCCATTAATGGTGGTCATCTGACCATGTGAGGACGGATCCGAGGAAGGAGCCATATCTTCCTATTAATGGCAGACATCTTACCATGTGAGGACGAGATCTGGGGAGGGATTCATATCTTTCCATTAATGGTGGTCATCTGACCGTGTGAGGACGAGATCCAAGGAAGGAGCCATATCTTCCTATTAATGTCAATCTCATCCATGTGAGGACTGATCTGGGGGGGATTGACATCATATCTTTCCATTAATGCTGGTCATCTCAGACCCCTTCTGCATGGGATCCAGTGAAGGACTCATATCTTCAGCTGTCAATGGCGGTCATCTGAATGGGTGGCGCTGTTGGGTGGGGATTGACTCTCCAGCTCAGTGTTTCAGAGACAAGTCAGATCTCCGTCTCTCTGTACTTCCATATCAGGGACAATATTAAATGTACATTCAGTGAGGACCTCTTCTGAATCTTTATTGCGACATGTACTTCAGACTAATAACATTTTAAATCACTTATATATATAAAAGATTCTCCTTTGGTTATCTGAGTGTCAGAGAATATGGCTGAATGTTGAAATCAGGCTGTAAGAGTTTACTGTACATCAGGTGTGTTTCCTCTCCTAGGAGCCCCAATACACATCATTTCATGTACATGAAGCTCAGCTTCTTCCATCTCCTCCCATCTTCCATCCCATCTCCATCTCCTCCCATCTCCTCCCATCTCCTCCATCTCCTCCCATCTCCATCCATATCCTCCCATCTCCATCCATATCCTCCCATCTCCTTACATCTTCCTCCCATCTCCTTCCATCTCCTCTCATCTTCTCCCATCTCCTCCCATCTCCTCCCATCTTCTCCCATCTCCTTCCATCTCCATCCATATCCTCCCATCTCCTTCCATCTATATCTCCCATCTCCTCCCATCTCCTCCCACACATCATCTCCAAAATCTCCTTCCATTATTCCCATCTCCTCCCATTTATGTCACACCAACTTTGCACAGCACTTTACATCTCCTCCCATGCGAGGGCAGACAGTACAGTTACAATACAATTGAATACAGGAGGAATCTGATCTCCCCATCTCATAGAGCACACAATCTAAGAGGGAGGGACAGGAGATGCAAAAGGTAATAACTGGGGGGATGAACTGTTGGAGAAAATCCTCCCAAAGTCAGATGTTATCTGGGGGGCATCTCCTAGGCTTCTCTGAAGAGAAAGGGTTTTCAGGGATCTGCCTAAAAGTGGACATCTAGAAGATAGTCAGACAGATTGGGGTATGGAGTTCCATAGGATGGGAGAGGCTCTGGGGAAGTCCAGGAGGCAGAAATTCCATCTAGAGAGCAGGAGGTCTTGGAAGAAATGAAGAGAATGATTTCCTTCCATCTTTGAGATCTAGGTTAGTGATGTTGCTCCCAGAATTTAATGTGTCTGGGTGAGTGGCACCATGATTGGATTCCAGAGAGGGGTCTCCCATCACCTTCCATCAGTGGAGGGATCCCATCTCCTTTCCATCTCCTCCCCATCTCCTTCCATCTTCTCCAATCCCATCAGTGGAGGGATCGGCCTCCCCAGAGCGGTCCTCCCCCACACATCATAAAATGGAGGTCAGTGGAGGGATTTAGTAGCAGGGGCCACAAAATGGAGGTCGGTGGAAGGATTTACAAGAGTGGAGGAGACACTAAATGGGAGGCCAATGGAGGGATTGGCAGATAGGGAGGAGGACATCTGAATGGGCCCGCCATAGAGGGATTGGCACAGATCTACGGAGGGAGGAGGCCAGTGAGGGATGGCAAAGAGGGGTGGAGGACACTGAATGGGGCCAGAAGGTTTGGCAGAGAGGAAACACTAAATGGAGGCAGTGGAGGGATTGGCAGAGAGGGGTGGAGGACACTGAGTGGAAGCCAAGGAGTGATTGGCAGGGAGGGTGTGAGGACACTAAATGGGGGCCAGTGGAGTAGAGAGGGATAGGATACTAAACAGAAGGTCGGGGAGGATGGATTTCCAGAGAGGGGAGAGGACTCTGGGGAGGTCAGTGGAGGCAGAAATGGCAGAGGGGGGTTAGGACACTGAGTGAAGGCCAGTGGAGGGAGACAGAGAGGGGTGGGAGGAAATGAATGGAGGCCAGTGGAGGGATTGGTATTTTTGAGACTGGTTAGTGACACTAAGTACAGCGGAGAATTTGGAGGGATTGGCAGAGAGGGGTGGAGGACACTAAGTGAAGCAAGTGGAGGGATTGGCAGAGAGGGTTGGAGGACACTGAATTGGAGGTCCAGTGGAGGGATTGGCAGAGAGGGGTGGAGGACACTAAATGGAGGCCAGTGGAGGGATGGAAGGATTGGCAGAGAGGGGTGGAGGACACTGAGGCAGGAGGTCAGTGGAGGGATTGGCAGAGAGGGGTGGAGGACACTGAATGAGGCCAGTGGAGGGATTGGCAGAGAGGGGTGGAGGACACTGAATGGAGGGTCGGTGGAGGTCTTGGCAGAGAAAGGTGGAGGACACTTTGAATGGAGGCCAGTGGAGGGATTGGCAGAGATGGTTGAAGGACACTGAATGGAGGCCAGTGGAGGGATTGACAGAGAGGGGTGGAGGACACTGAATGGAGGCCAGTGGAGGGAATTGGCAGAGAGGGGTGGAGGACACTGAATGGGGAAGTCAGTGGAGGGATTGGCAGAGAGGGGTGGAGGACACTGAAAGGAGAAGCCAGTGGAGGGATTGGCAGAGAGGGGTGGAGGACACTAATGCGAGGCCAGTGGAGGGATTGGCAGAGAGGTTGGAGGACACTGAATGGAGGCCAGCGGAGGGATTGGCAGAGGGGGGTGGAGGACACTGAGCGGTTCGTAAGGTGGACGAGCCTGGTAGCAGCAGTCATGATGGACTGGAGGACATGAGTCCAAGGTGGGGAAGAGCTACCGAGTACAGCGAGCGATGTGTCTTCTGTGGTATGGTGGCGGGGGCTCATCTGTGGATATTCCAGGGTTCAGACTGAAGAGAAGGTAAGGAGAACAATGACCCCCCCCCCCCCATACTGCTGGAAGTATAAGAATTGTTCTTATGGCTAAATTGTTTGAGAAATCAGCCGATAATAAATATTTCATGCTATGGGTTCCACCAATCTTCATGTAGGGATTGCTA